TGCTGCCACCAGCAAACTAACAAGTAGGGCCTGGGGGCAGCAGCCCCACACCCTGCTCCAAGGAAGTCCCACTGCCCTCCCTGTGGGGCTCCTCCAGGGGTAGCATAGATGGTCACCCACCTGCATGTTGGGGACAAGCAGCAGCTTGGAAAGCTTGGTGCGGCTGTCGATCAGGCTGTTCCAGTCCAGTAGGTCCACAGTGCTGGGAGCAGAGCGCCAGGTCCATACTGGTGTCTTGCAGGGTCAGAGAGGTCTCTACCAGCTCCCGACCCCCACCAGCAAGGAGCATATGCGGCACATCCCACCCTGACCTGTCTTGTCACCTCCACCCAAACTTCTTCTATGTTTGGTCACTGTGCTGAGCCAGCGCTGGCCTTTGGAGACCTTCCCTTAGTGCTGCCGCACTGCCCCACGAACAGGGACAAGGTCCCCCAGAATCCCCATCTCGCAGCACCCCCAGGTCACAGACAGCTTACCCGCTCATGCCCAGGTTCTCGCCCGTGAACCAGTGCTGGCTCTCCCCCTTGGTCGCAATGCCGAGGTTGGCCAGGGCCTCCTACCAGCAAAAGGAGCATCAGTGCCAAGGAGCTACAGGGGTCTTACTGCTCCAGGCTCAGAGGTGTCACAGGTCAGGGCTGCTCAGGGACCTCTACGGCCACCGGCCACCTCCAGCAGCACATCCCCGGCAGCACAGCCTCCTCCCTCACCTGCAGCTTCTCCGCCTCCAGCTTCATCTCCAGTGCCGCCCGCCCGGCCTGGCCCTGCTCCGCAGCCATTTGGTGGAAGAATCTCCGCCACTTCACCAGCACCTCTGAGAACTGCAGCTGTGGGGACAGAGCTCAAGGTGAGACACCCGGGCTGAAGCCCAGCCAGCTTGGAGCCTCCTATCATGCCAGGGCTTTGCAAGATCATACCCGGCCTGGGGCAGACCCTGACCCTATAGCAGGACACTGTGGCCAAGCAGAAGCCAAACCCAGTAGTACAGACACTCCCCGCTGCCGACCCCCATGCTGGGACCTTTAAACTTCTGAGATCTTCATGTGTCCCCAAAAGTTGAGGCAGGGTCTCCAGGGTGGTCCTGGGCACACAGGGGACAGCCTGTGTCAATGCCCACTCCTCTCTGCCATCAGTAGAGGTGCCACTGTAGCAAGCCTGGCACCCCAAAGCACCTGCCCCCACAGATGCATCATCTGTGGCCCTGGCTCTGACCCACCTCACCTTGGCCATAGCCCTGGCACTCACCAGGAACTGAGGTCTGCCCAGCGCTGTCAGCTTGATGGCCGAGAAACCATCCTCCGAGCTGCCACCTGGATGGAGCCACAAAGACAGAGCTAGCCCAACAGGCCAGGTGCTCAGGCAGAAGGGAGGTACCCGAGATACAGTGGTGGGCTGTAGGGGTCTCGGCAGTCTGGGACTGCTCAGGACACATGGAGCACTTACCTGAGGCATCGATGCAGCGGAGGAAAGTCTCCATGTGCTGGTCACACTTGGCCTCATCGGCGTAGAAATATGTGCGGGCACTGATGACCCCACCACGGCGATCCCCAAATCCCCGATGGGCTCGGTACTGCTTCTCCCTTTGTTCTGCTCCTGGGGTGGAAAAGGATGGAGATGGGCCACGCAGCCCTGCCGAGCTCCTACAAGCCTCCCCAGGAGCTTCTGTGGTGGGTGCAGTGGAGAGAGGCTCCAGCCTGGACCTCAAAAGAGCCCCCAAGGGCTGCAACCCACCCTGCCTGCTCTGTTGCCTGAGCAGAGGCTGAGCCTTTGCTGAGGAGCGGGGCTGGACCAAGAGGAGCAAGAACCAAGATGTTCCTCATCCAGCTTGTGTTTTGAGGCTGTGGGAGCTGGGTCTTTCCCCCACGCCAGGCCCGCAGTGCCTGGATCAGCTGGATCTTCAGGCTATCTCCTGTCAGCAGGAGAGGCTGGGTCACTCACCTCCCATCTCCTTCTCGGCTGCAGAGGTGCAGGAGCTAAGAAGAGAAACAGGGAAGATAAGGGCCAGGTCAGCAACCCCCCACAACCCCACGCTGGTGGCCAGGGCAGCTCTGAAGCTCCCCTGCCGCCAGCTTGGCACTGGACCCTGCTCTTCCCTCACCATCCCATTGCCAATGGATCAAACTCTGCTCACTGCGAGCTCTGCTAGCAGGTCAGATGCCCCAAACCTGCTTGTGGAAGGCAATGGGGCTTCAACATCCAGGCAAGCGTTACCTGGAGGCCCTGAGGCAGCACAGGGAGGATGCTCTGTGCCATGGTCCAGAGCTGCTCTCAAACAGACCACCCAACAGCAAGGACAAGGTCAGCCCTGTAGGGTTAGGTCCTCCGGCTCCAACCATGCCAGCCCACGGTCCTCACTGCGGTGCCACCAAGCCTCAACCCAACACCTCCTCCCACCTTGCAGGCACGAGCAGCCACAGCATGAAGCGAGGAGCTCCTCCAGACCCAGGGCGCATCAAGGGATGCCCAGCTGCAGCTCAGCTGCCCCACGCTCCTCTGTGCCTTGGCATTAGCCAACAACTTACAAACAAGGTTTCAGCTCCAACTCCAGCTGACCTCGGATGTAATTTCAAGCCCAAACTCTTTGCCACAGAGATAACAGGGCTCTGACAGCCCAGGGGATGCTGGCCAAGTCATGAGATCCTCCTTGAGGTTGAACAGCTGAGCCTTTTTGCAGACACACTAAATGCAGCCTGCAGACCCGGGGTCTCACCCAGGAACACGGTCAGCCCCTGGAGAGCAGCCCCGAGTAACAGCAGAGCCATCTCCTCCAGGAGATTTCTGCCTTGGAGTCACTGTCCCAAAACCGGCTGTGCCCAGCAGTGGGGAAGCACGCTGCGAAGCAAGCAGCAAAGCTGCCCGTCTGGAGCCAGAGGACTCGCACAAGAGAGCAGAGAGGCATGTGGCATCGTCCCAGAACATGTTCTCCCACGTGGAAACCCTGTGACAGGGATTACATGCTGCTGGAAGCATAAACAAGCAGAGACAAGCCCTTCCTTCCCGCTCCCGAGAGCCAGGACAGCCCCGCATTGCTCAAAGCGCAGCAAAGCCTGGCGTGAACCAGGGCAGGAGTAGCCGGAGCTCATGGGGAGCTGCAGGCACCACGTCTAGCAGGCTCTGCTCTGTGATTTTACTACCCTGAGGACAGGTCAAGAAGCTTTCTGCCCTTGAATACAGAGGGCGGAGGAAAGGAAGGAGGAGACATCATACACCCAGGGATGGGATGTGACAGCAAAGCCCACAGCAGATGGAAGGTCCCCTTGGAGCAGGCAGCGTGGCACAGAAGAAGGCTTCGGCTGGACACATGGCTGCCGTGCTGAGGACGTGTTGAGAGAGATGGGTCCTGTGGGCAGGTCCCAGCCGCAGCACCTCAGGACAGCTCTGAACCCCAAAGCACACCTTGCATCCAGCATCCGAGATGCTGGGCACAAGTTGCAGGGAGCAAAGCCTCCTCTGACCTGCCCACAGTGAACACACACAACTCAATTAGCAACAGCACCCTTGAATTTGAACTGTTTTGTGTTCCTGAAGACAAACACACCCTTTCCAGCAGCATTCCTGCTGCATGACTGCACTGAGCCCTCTGTCCCCAAGGGGAGGCATTCAAAGCAGTGCCATGGTGCTCGCTTTATTGTTCTGCATCAAGAAAAATAAAGGAAGCTCCTTCCAGCTGAAGAAATAGCTCTTCCTGGATATCATCTGCTTTCTTTCTGATATTAGTCTTGGACAGCAAAGCCATTCCTACACCAACCAAATGCCACTTAACCCAGCTTATACCTGGCCATCCCTTCTGCAAACCGAGAGCAAGTCTCCCAGGGCAGGACACATCTCCAGGCACTGCCCAAACGCTTCTGGCAGGCTGTAACCAGAAACGAGCCACCTGCAAGGCACGCTTAGGACCTGGAAGCTCCCACTCACCCAAAGCATGCACAAAGCAGGTTATGGAGACTTGATGCAGCCCACTGGATTGCTGGGAAGGATAATCCAGCTGACACCGCAGACTGGGGCTTTCAGGAAGTTTTTGATCAGGCTCAAATAAACCATGTCAGGAGAAGCACAAAGGTCTCCCTGTGAGAAGTATGTAGGCAATAATCCACTTTGTCCTGGAGGTTACCAGGAAGGTGCCACAAGCACAGCGTATTTGCTTTGCTCATCAGCAAATGGGTCTGGCAAAGGGGATGAGGGAACACCAGGAAGAAGTTGTCCCTGAATTACCACATCCAAGGAAAAACTCATGGTCACATGAAGCCCAGACCAGAGCTATGGGTGGGGCTTGCCCCATGCATGAGTTGCCAGCACACACCAGCCCAGGACCACCACAGGACCTCCTTGCACGGTTTCAAGCTAAAGAGAAATCACCCCGTGATGCCAGGGACCCGCAGCACATGCAGGCAGAGCACTAGGCATGGGAGGCAGCAGCACTGGAAACAGGAGAAGGGGAGGCAGCAGCTCTGGTAGACTGACTGGCCAGGCTGGATCGTAGTCCCATGCTGGGGCAGATATCAGGCGTCCACACAAGAAATCTCGAGAGGAAGCAAAGTCCGCGTGCTGCATGGCAGAGCTGTTCAGGATGTCGGACAGCGCTCGGAGGCAGGATTGTCCTTCCCCATGTTAGCACAACCCCAACCTATCTCCTGGCTTGTGATGCCCATCGGCCAGCAATGGCCCCAAGGGGACCACAACCACCTCCGCTATGGGGGAGTCCCTTGTTTCACCCCACGGGGAACAGAAACCCCTGCCCAGCCATCGCACTGCCGCTCCACACCCCACCCGGGGCTGCACCCATCCCAAAGCCCACAGCCCACACGCTGCCCCAGAAGCGGAGCAGCACCCAGGCTCCGCTGCCCACAGGACACCTTTCTCCAGCCTTGTCACCATGACCTGGCAGCAGCCTTCAGCACATGGCCAAGGACTCCTGGGACAAGCTGGCAGAGCTCTGGATGTCAGCCCAGGCAGGGCAGGGCAGGCATGAGCCTGCCGCAGGCAGGATAAGCCGGTACCTGCTCGCGTTGCACTGCTGTTCCCAACCAGAAAGCCTGTGACAAGGAGCGGCTATGGCCCATTGCCGGGGAGGAAAGGGCATTTCCCTGCTGTTATCTCCAGCTCGCTCCAGGCGAGTAGGCTGCACTGGTAAGCCCAGCGCAGCTCTGCCTGCAGGAGCTCTGCCGGGGCGGGGGGGGGAAACAACAGCAGATGGCACCAGGAGGCCAAAAAAACCACTGGCTGCAGCTGGTTTGTACCTCTGCTTCCCAGCTAGCAGTGGGGTAAAACCCTAAAGCGCTCACGGGAGGGAAAGATGCAGCTCCGGAGGCCACGAGCCCTGGACTACTCACCCCTCTCAACCATGCGCAGCCCAGCTCAGCACCATCCCCAGCAGAAGTAATTTGGTGGTAATTTGGTGTTTTGCCCCTGAACAGAGCCAAGGAGGACACAGAGCAATGCTTGGCACAGGCCAGGGTCCAACCCTTCCGATGCCACCCACACCTCCCCTGGGCTTTGTCCCTGCTCTGTGACATCCCTGGGTAATTGCCAGAATGGCATCCCCGCCCCTCTCCCCCCCCATTTTGTTGGAGCAAATCCTGCTGGGGTTCAGGCAGGATGGCATCGGGAGGCATGGGGAATGGGGTCCAATGCATGGCTTTGCCCAGCTCTCTTGGGTGGGAGTGACCCACACAGCACAGGCAGAGCTCATCTAGGAAGGAGTCCCACACACGTAACCCCCAAATCTGCTCCTGGTGGGTGGGGTGGGGGGAAACCAGCACAGCCCCGACAGCTCACAAACCACCACCACCTGCCCCGCCATGAGCAGGCAGGGTACCGGTAAAGGCAGAGCCTGCCTGTGAAAGCCCTTGGTGGTCAACCACAGGAAAGTGCTCAGCACAGGTACAGCCAGACCAAGAGGGCAACAATGCCAGCCTGGCAGCACCAGCACCACCAGCTCAGCTGGGTGATGCCAGGGGCCATCTCAGCCCCACAGGGATGCTCCACAATGTGCCCAGACCATGACTGCATGCCTGGGGATGCTCCCGAAAACATCGCTGCTCCATGCCTTCAAAAAATCCATTCCCCCCATGGGCTGCGGTGGGGTATTTTGAAGCTTTTATAAAAAAAATACAAAGCTGGCAGCTCAATCTGCAAGGGGCTCGGATGGGCGCAGCCTTGCCTGCCCCCTTTGCAGCTCCCACATCAGTGCTGCCCTCACAAGCTGCCCACTCCCCCCGTGGACGGGCAGGATCTTCGCGCTGATGGGGATTTCTGGCAGCAGCAGGAAGGGACGAGTGGGGCTCCCTGATAAGCAGCACTCAAGTGGGGAGCAGAGATAAGGCTCCCGGCAGCGGCTGGGAGGAGTCCAGCGGCAGCACCTGCATCACCA